TGGGCATGTCTGGAAGACTGGAAAAGTGGGACTGAGAAAGTACTTCATCCCAAAGCTTGAGAGCTAAGGCACATGGGTTTGGATCCAAGGCAACAGGCCACAGCAGAGACGGGAGGAAAAATCAAGGGTCATGAATTTGTCACTTTGATAATTTGCCACCTGAGCCCCATGCCTACTTCTGAGGGTAAGATGGCTAAAGTGGAAGGTTAAGTAAAAACCACAAATACCTAACTCAATAAAGTAGTCATGATATTGTGCAAATAACAGGAACTGGGGCATTATAACCAGCCCCTTTAGCAGCAATGGGAAATGCTATCCTTATTAACATTATCAGCACCACTTCTTGGCAGCATAGGTGTTAATACCAAGGATTAGAGGCAGCTGTTTGACACCTTCCATCATTATCCTAAACAGACAACCTCCATTTAGCTGCCACTTTGAGACTGACTCTACAAGGATACAATACAATACCATAATGTAGGACTAGGAGGCGAATAAATACAGACTCCCCATGGTACCCAAGAGGACACAGTTTATTACCTCTAGGTGAAATACCACTTTGGGACTCATAGAGCTACTTGGGAAAAATACTGGAGTAGTGCCCAATCATTCCTGCAAAGCATTTGGGGAGAGATGAGCAGAAATGCTATTGTCTTATACTATTGGGGTCCTGATTTACCTTGCATGGTCTGAGAAATTCAGGTTGCAGGCAGTTTGAGGACTTCGAATATGAAGAACTCCAAAAAATATTCCAAAAGAAGAACAGCATATTCCCCACAACAGCCCACTCATAAAATGCATTAATTTAACACCTAATGACATGTAGCACTTGACTTGCTACAAAGGGAACTCCACAGAATTCAGACTCAGCCCTCCAGGAGTGTATACAGATTAAGAAAACCCATGCATGCTATAATGGCCAAATAAAAACCTCAAAGCAATGCATGGATTGTTGGTGTCATATTTCTCTCACATATAGGTCATTTTGCTAAGAGGATTGCAAGTTGCTTTTAAACACATGAAAATATTATCCAATTTTCCTGATAAAAATAAAAGCTCAGAAATTCGAAATGATAGAAGCCAGATCTGTATGGCTGTAGGGGAATCAAAGTCTAGAAAATATGATTAACTCAATTTGCCCCAGTTCCTTGGGGAGGCTTCAGAAACCTAAATTACTATTTAATAGTCCAGGTAATAAATTTGGATTGAAAAGATCCTTCTCTGACCTTCCTGTATTTGTTTTTGAGACACAGTCTTAACTGAAAGGTCAGAGCTAGTGGAAGAAGAAATATAACAGTATTATTGAGCCCCTCAAATACAAAGTTTGCATTACCTCCAGACCTCCACCCTGGCCAAAATAAGAAAGCAATAAAATCAAGGATTAGGATAGGAAACTTTGATGTCCTTATCTCAGCCCTAATCGTCCTTGATTTCTCTGCAGAATAAAATAGTGTGAGCCGGGGTGGTAATCAGTGGTTCTCCAACAGAAACACCTGGAGAGCTTGTTCTATCAAACTGCTGGGCCCTAGTCCCATGCTCACTCCCATAGTTTTTAATTTAGTAGGTTTAGGTTATGGCCCCAAGGAGCCCTAGTGGTGCAGTAGTTAAGCACTCAGCCGCTAACCGAAATGTCATTGGTTGGAACCCACCAGTCGCTCTGCAAGAGAAAGACGTGGCAGTCTGCTTCCATAAAGATTACAGCCTTGGAAATCCTATGGGGCAGTTCTACTCTGTCCTCTAGGGTCACTACTCAACTGCAATGGGTTTGGTTTTGGTTTTTAGGTTGAGGCCCCCAAAGTTTCATTTCTACCAAGTTCCTAGGTGATGCTCATGCAGCTGCACAACTGGGCACAATTTAACTACCCTTTGTGAAATAATTGATCACCACTGTCTGAATCAGTTATTTCATTCCAGTTGCCATCAAGTTGACTCTGACTCATGGCGACCCCCTGTGTGCGGGAGTAGAACTGTGCTCCATAGGGTTTTCAATGGCTGATTTTTTGGAAGTAGATCTCCAGGCCTTTCTTCCTAGATGCCTCTGGGTGGACTGGAACCTCCAACCTTGCAGTTAGCAGCTGAGCACTTTAACTATTTTGTACCACCCAGGAACACCAGTTATTTCATCAGGGCTTGTAAAATGAAGACTCTCTGAATCTATCCTTTCGTTTGCATTTATTAGTGGGAATTATTCTGTATAGAAGAACTTTCCTTTATTCACCAAAACTATGTGACAACTCCTGAAACACAGATCAAACCAGAAAGACAAGAAAACTGTTTAATTCTCTTTCTTTGATTGTTAAGGAACGTAATAGTATTATTGAGCCCCCAAAATACAAAGAATTTTGCATCACGTCCAGACCTCCACCCTGGCCAAAATAAGGAAGCAATAAAATTAAGAACTAGGAAAGGAAACTTTGTTTTTCAGAGTAATGATTAGAATTTAGCAACCTAAATTGTGTCCAGTGTGCTGTCTGTCCCTCTCTCCAATTAGATTAGCAAAGGCAACTCCATTCCCTATTTTCTTGATTTTTCTAAAGAATCGGCTTTGTGTTTATCATGGATTGAACTGTGTCCCCCAAAAATATCTGTCAAGTTGGCTGGGTCATGATTCCCAGTATTGTATAACTGTGTACCATTTTGTAATCTGATGTGATTTCCTTATGTGTTGTAAATTCAATCACTATGAGCTAATAAGATGGATTAGCAGCAGTTATACTGATGAAGTATACAAGATTGGATAGTGTCTTAAGCCAATCTCTTTTGAGATATAAAAGAGAGAAGCAAGCAGAGGCACACGGGAACCTCATACCACCAAGAAAGCAGTGCCGGGAGCAGAGCGGGTCTTTTGGACCTGAGGTTCCTGCACTGAGATGCTCCCAGACCAAGGGAAGATAGATGACATGGACCTTCTTCCAGAACTAACAGAGAAAGCCTTCCCCTGGAGCCAATGCCCTGAATTTGGACTTGTAGCCTACTGGACTGTGACAGAATAAACTTCTCTTTGTTAAAGCCATCCACTTGTGGTATTTCTGTTATAGCAGCACCAAATGACTAAGACAGTGTTTTTATTATTATATTTTTTTTTCTATTTTATTATAAATTTCTGTTTTCATCTTTTTAAACTTCCTCTTGCTTTCTGTTTACTTGTTGTTCTCTTTATGCTTCTGTAGTTGGGTATGTAGTTTCTTCTTCATTGACTTTGTATTTAATTCTGTGGATTCTCCTCTAAGCACTGCTTCAAGTGTATCCCACGGATAGTGTTAAGTCAGTCTCTATTATTTTTATTTTCTAGATATTATTTTTTTCCCCCTTCAACCCACAAGTTGTTTATTGGAGTGTTTTATAGATTCCAGGTGGAAAGATTATTTTGGTGGTTGTTTATATTGATTCTGCTTATATTTATTTATATTGATTCTAGCTTTTTGTACTTTTTGCATTTAGCATTTTTGTTGAAAATGCTGTTTTTGTATGTTTATCGTGTATTCTGATACTTTGCTGAAATCTTCTATTAGTTCCAGTAGTTTTCTTGTGGATTCTTTGGGGTTTTCTGTGTATAAGATCATATCATCT